ATAAGTCACCTAGGTTTTGTACCTCTTGGGGGAGATTATTATTATTATTACTATTATTATTAGTAGGTGGACCATGTTTGTTGTACTTTGCGAAAATGCCATTCTGGTTCTTCATGATTAAAACATCTTGATTCTTTGAACTTCACTTCAATGATTAAATCTATCTGTATGAATAAAAATACTGAGATCATTTCCACTCTTATAATGTTTGCCTTTTGCTTTCTTTTCCGATACCTTTATCTTGAAAGAACTCCGAAATTGATGACTTTATACCATGGCTCACCCCCCCCTGCCTTTCCTTCACTGGGCCCTTTCCGATTAGATGTTTTTTATGAAATTTATCCCTCCTCGGAATATGATTGTAGTTTAGTGCTTGGGAACTTGTCCCACTGTGTCTTGAGGCTCTTGCTCTTTAACTAGAATTTGTATTATGGACCCTTTCTGAGTTGGTTTTTTAAAACTATGTGTATTTTTTATACATAAATAGAGAAGTATAACAACGCTAAAGGCAAATGCAAATAAAAACTACAGTAACAGATGCTAAAATCATTATAATTGTGATATTATAAACCCACAAAGACATTCAAAATTAAACACATTACAACTTGAGGTAATCAGATCCAAACCACACATTCTTCTCACACGTTGTTTAATTTCTAAAGCTATCAATCGTATAATTAGATTTGCAAAACATGACATAAAGATAATTAAAGAGCCCAATTGCGAGGAGAAACGAGATAGCAAGATAAAAAAAATTTATGAGATCTTTATGGTCTTAATAGATTGTTTATACATCTAATTTACCATAGAAACAGAATTAGATTCAAAGAAGAGATTTCTTTCAAAAAATCTTGTATAAAAGATAATTAACCCATCAATACCAGCAAGAACAGGTTTGTCAATGAAAGAGCCGTCAATACCCCACTTTAGTGTAAGTGGCTCAGGTGGATACCATCAAAAGGGGAGGTCTAGAACACCTTCTATCTGACCATCAATCCAAACCATTACCCGTAATGAATAAATCAAGGGCACAATAAGAGAAGTCTGTGTAAAAAAAAGGGCTTTGATCCACACACACGCGCAGTCTAGTTAATATTGGAAGAAAGATGGTATCCCACACACACGCGCAAACTAGGGCTTGGCCTAGTGGTGGAAGGTATCATAATTATTGAAGAGAAATTCATTTCTAACAAGACAAAGGACTATGAGATTGCAAGAACAACATAAACCATACATTTTCTTGAAATTTCCCCATAAACAAGATGTTTTCATTAATGAAAAAGTTATGGCATATTCCTAGGACAGCACCGAGATTATAAACACGATCAATTAATAAATCTTGCCCAAACACACCAGTGATTATGATAGTGTATAAAAATGAAAGAAAGATGGTATCATAATTACTGAAGAGAAATTCATTTCTAACAAGACAAAGGACTATGAGATTGCAAGAACAACATAAACCATACATTTTCTTGAAATTTCCCCATAAACAAGATGTTTTCATTAATGAAAAAGTTATGGCATATTCCTAGGACAGCACCGAGATTATAAACACGATCAATTAATAAATCTTGCCCAAACACACCAGTGATTATGATAGTGTATAAAAAGGTGGTCAACAGTTTCCTAAGAACCCAAGCATAGAAGACAATCAGCTTCAAGAATACCCCTTCTCTTGCTTCAAGAATACCCTTCCCGACCAAGACACCAACTCTAGTACATATTGATTTCGCCAAGAATGGTCATCCAACTCTATTGATTTCGCCAAGAATGGTCATCCAACTGAAGATTTCAACCTTGAGAGGAATCAATGCTTGTCACATACCATTGAAAGAATTGCATAGATTAATCTGACTCAAAGATGATAGCATACAACACATGGATTTGACTGAATAATCCCCATTACAATTAAAAACTCTCTCTCTCTCTCTCTCTCTCTCTCTATATATATATATATATATATATATATATAGACACTTTGTTTTTCAAACCTCCGATTCAGATCCCTTGCAGAAATGAGGGCCCTTTTGCTTATCTTATACTTCTACTTGGTATTCCTGTTACTTTGACCCGTTTCAGAGTTGCTCAAGAACTAGGAATTTGGGTAGTTAACTTGCGAGAGTGCATGGTTTTGAAGGTCAGCGTAACCTTTTGCAATAATACCAAGAAATTATTAAATGGGATTAGGTATATAGATGGACTAAAGCAATTACATCACATTTAGAATCTAGCTGCCACAATAATCAATAACAGTACAAAATTAAGACTTAATATATATCAACAAATCAGATAACGTTGATCCACAGATCTGTATACTTAATTTAAGGTAAATATAACTCATCAAACAAATATAAATTTTAACAAAAAAAAAAGGTGTTTTCTTTTGATAGATGCCTGGTTTTTAACAAAAAAGAAAAGAAAAGGTGTTTTCTTTTGATAGATGCCTGGTTCGTAGGGTTACTTTTAATTAGATTCGTGATTAAAAGCTAAATATATAATGTCACTGAAGAAGCAAAGCTGCCAACAGGTTTCTGGTTTAGCAAAGAGCTCATGGTTAGATCCTGCTTTTGAAGTATTTGAATTTGAAAAATTATATTTCATTGCAAAAGAAGGTCAAAATAGTCTGAAAGGTAATATCTAAGCCCAGAAAAAACAAAGCAAAACAGCCGTGTTTTTCATTAATTTCAAACGGCTGTGGCGACGCAAGCAGTATATTGGAAGGATTAAAGCCATGTCCAATTAAGAGAAGGGTAAGTCTATATAAATCACATATGCCAATGGCAGTCCTAACGTCTTATGAGGATTATGAATATGTTCTTTAAATTTTAAATTTGAGCTATTCCTAGCACGATGTTTTGATTTAAATTAACCTTAATTGTTTGCTCTTGCAAGGTGTGACAAGCTGTCAAGCTCATTAAATATAACGATTTATTGAATTCTTAAAAAAATTTCCATCCTAAAGTAATTAGAAAACATCTATATCTTACAAAAAAATACCGGAAGGATATGTTTTTCTGAGTAATTGATTTTGCTATTTTTAGTTTTAAGTAGTTGTTTGTTAAATTATAGTAGGTTATGTTTTTTAAAGTACTTTTTATATTAGTTTTTACTTGAAAAAATATTAAATTAATATTTTTTTATATTTTTAATATGTTGATATCAAAAGTTAAAACAAATCTATAAAAATTATAATTTTAATGTATTTTTTAATTAAAAAGCATCTTGTATTATATTATCAAACAAAAACTAATCATTTAGTTAAATTCTATTTATTGAGATTTTTTTCTAATCAAATCTTAGAAAAATCTCGTTCTACACTTAAATCAATCAATGTATTTAAAAAATAATATTTTCTCAATGTCACTTTGAGATTTTGAAATAATTTTGTGACTTAGGCTTTCCGTAAAAAAAAAGGTGTCTTTTGAAAGGCCCACTGAGAGCCCATTTTTGTTGCATAAAATAATTTACATGTGGAAAGAATTTTACTCTTTTTTTTTTTTCAATGTTTGGCTTTACATATGATGTTTTTTAATGGTGGTAGTGAAGATGGTAATGAGATTATAATGATAATGGAAGAAATCGACAATAATGGAAGAGATAATTATGATAAAAATGAAGAAAAAATAGTTGTAATGGTTGTGAAAAGATAATGATTATTGTGAGAAAACAATAAAAATAATAATAATAATAGTGATAATATAACAATGAAGTGAAAGAGATAATAACAGTGAATAAGTTAGTGATGAAGTGATTGTAATGTTAATAGTATTGATATAACGATATGCAATGATAAAGGTGATGATTATGATGGTGATGGTGATAAGATGAAATTGATAATTAAAATAGTTGAATAAGTTGTTGTGAGAAAATAATAAAAATAATAATAGTGATAATATAATGAAGTGAAAGAGATAATAATAGTGAATGAGTTAGTGATGAAGTGATCGTAATGTTAATAGTATTGATATAACTATATGCAATGATAAAGAAGGTAGTTATGATGGTGATAGTGATAAAATGAAATTGATAATTAAAATAGTTGAATAATATTATAAATAAATTTTTATTTGTAAAATATTTTACAAAATTTTATGAATTAAAAATATTTTTCATCAAATAAATTAAATTTGAAAATAAACTAATATTTTACATTTATCAATTTTCTATAAAATAACTTAAGAAATAAACACTAAAAACTATTTTTTATAAAATAATTTCTATGAAACAAATATACATGTGCTTTTTTCACTTGTCTGAGGTAAGGATTGTAAAACATTGAAAGCCCACACAGCTTTGATTTGACACACGGTGGTTGCCATGCAGATGTGCAGTTGACTACTGCGATTTCCATTTTCCAAAACTTAAAGAGATGTCTTTGTTTCTTTTGACTGATAAATTCAGTTAAAATCATTTACCTCGACCTCTTCTAAATTTTTTGTTTTTTTATTGACGGAATGCTTAAAAATATGATGGTAATATTTTTAAAAATATTTTAAAATAATATATATTAAAATAATATTTTTAAAATCAATACATACAAATATTAAAAAATATTAATTTAAAGCAAAACAAAACAATAAAATAAAAATTCAATTTTTAAAAAACAAAATAGACATGATTCACAATCCCCGTTCTTCCTGGAGATTAATCATTATCAGATAATTAAACTCTAGATAATTGTTTTCGTATTCATCATTATCAGCGAATTCTGCATCCAACTTAAGATAATTGCTTCCAACCAAAATTGATTAGAACCCTGTTGGGACACAGTTGAAAAACATCCATTCCCTCTAAAAAAACACATGCGAAGCAGTCTCTAGAGACAGGGATCTACAGTCTTGACCATAGTAATGCTGAACAATGAAGATTTTCATTGCTAATAAATAAAATGAATTTACACAAGCTGAAGTTCAGCTTAGTCCCTTGTCCTAAGGGACTTCAACTCAAGCTACAGTTCTTTTTTTTTCATAATGGCTACAAATCTATTACTACAGTTCTTTTTTTTTTTTCATAATGGCTACAAATCTATTCTTATCTCGGAACTACCACTTCCCTTCCTTTCCCGCCATTCAGCAACAAATATCAACACACTAGCACAACAATAAATATTATAATCCTCCGGTCTCGCTTCTCTACACAAAAATTGCGAGTGGATTCCAACTGATCAAGCACAAAGAAGGAAGCATGAATCTTGACCAATCTATACAGCAATCAAATAACCAGATTGGCCCCCAGAAATGGATATGAGAAACTAAATGCGTGGTCTAACACTCTATCCGTAACCGCCGCATTTCAGACCTGAAGGTGGAACTTGAATTCAAAGTCCGACGAGCAAGGGTTCTTATGTCCTCTCGAGAACAATCTCGCGAGATACGAACTAGCTCCCAAAGTGCACCTCCACTGATCATTTCTTTTGCATTTACTTCTGAAATATAAGTAGTTTGGTGTTTCAAGGAACAAGTCAGGGAGTTTTTTCTCGACTGAAAAGAGGGAGTGGCACTTACCTTGCTGTGCTAGGTGGCATAGGGCGAGCTCAATGTGGCGCCTGATTGGTGCAGCTTCATTATTAGCATTTTGTACAATCCATGGAAGTGCGCCGTCTTCTATAAGAAGAGATCTGCCACTTTTTAATCCTGTGGTAGGTCAGCATAATGTTAAATATTAAAAATATAGATTTTTACACATCTTCCCATATGACTATGTTCATGACAGCAGACGATGTGCTATCAGATACATTATCAGCCAGGGTGATTTTGGACTGGATGGCACATTATCTACAGGCAGCTAATTTCTTGGAAGAAGAATCCAATCAGCTGAGATCATTTAATAGCATTCACTTGAAAAAATTGAAGGTGCGACAACTATCCCCTCAACCCTCACACTGACCTGGTGCCCAGCAACCAAGAAAACCCACTTCAACAACACCCAAGAAAAGCGTTAAACAGAAACTTCAACCTAAAATCAAACATTGTACCAGAAAATATTTTCCCAAGTCACTAATGAATATATAAACCTTCCCTAATCACAAATGATAAGTTTCCATTTTCTGATTTGACAAACTACCACAGATTGAAAGTAACATCAATGCTGTTATGGTCCAGATATAGCCTGTTCGCAGACCTTAGATACTAAATTTCGTAGTCAAGATCATATGAGACTGAGAACTAACCTTGAGAAGATGCTCGGGACTCGCATTTTGCAAAGTTTGCAATCCCACGAGCAACTTGGGAAAGAACATCAGGATGTCCACATCTCTCCATTCCTAGCAAAGCCCTTATACCACCTTCAGACCTGAGCTTCATTTGCAGCTTATCTGCAGGACAAAAGGAATATAGGATAGCAATACAGCTCAATAAGTTGATAAGACATCCAGTTTAAGACACTGAAAGCATGCAATTTTCATTTGAGTCTCAAATCACATAAAAGAGGCAAATTAAAAGCTGCAGCAAATGTAATTCTCTCAATGGCATCTTTTTAGCACTGCATATTTGCTAAAGCAAAGATAAAGAACACATATTCGGCCTCCAGAAATTATTAAATTAACTTTCTTTTATGAGTATGCTCCAAATTTTATTGAACTTAGAATGACAAGAGCAAGACTCGAGCCTGAGACCTTATGCCTCTTGTTCATGAACGAGTGCTACCAGACTACAAGCTGAATGGTAAATTATCAAACCAAATATTCATCAAGAATTGATAACAACATGGTGTTAGACATACTCCTTTACTGACACGAGTTCTATATTTTCATTCTTGGAATCCTGTCTTGATGAAGGTTTCGTAATCTTTTCACTTTTATTTTATAACTAAGTGACCTTACAAAGTTAATTTACATGAATGACCAAAAATATGTGACAACAAAAGAAATAATATCATGACACAGCAGAACAAGCAATATACCATTCCCACACAGATTTGCAATAGCTCCAGCAACCATGCGTAGAGTTTGAGGATCCTCAGCATCAGCTGCTGTCATAGATAACAAACTAATGCCCCCTTGAACCATGATTAGTTCTTGATTAGCTTCTGGAAGAAAGGCAACAATACACAAAACCTATATATTTAGGAGCTGATTGGTGTTGGAACCATTAAGCAATACATGTGAAGATGACAAGAGAAATGTATAAGTGACATTTACCATTCATTGCGAGATTGGCGATTGCACCTGCAGCTACTCTGCGAATAGTTTCATCCTCAAAGCTTCTAAGAAGCATCAGCAAGGAAGTAAGACCACCAGATTCAACAATCTTTTCTTGATTTGCTTCTGCATAATATACAAGGTGAAACACAAACCAGTTGCATGAAACAAAAACAAAACAAAAAATGCATAACAAAGTATATAGTATGAACCTGCAATCTACCACAACCCAACTCATCCATTACCACAATAACTGAGTACTGACCTTCAGCAGCTAGATTAGCCACCACTTTTACGGCATGTATTCGTACATTGGCATCTTCTGATTCGAGCAGCGACAAAATTTTTTGCAATCCAACTGTCAAAATTCATAGGTCATAAAACTTAAAAAAAAAAAACACATTGACCAAAAATGGTTCATGATTTTGTTAAGGCATTTTATTACCATGTTCATAAAGGGGGGCAATAAACACACGGACCAAAAATGGTTTATGATTTTGTGAAGCATTTTATTACCGTGTTCATAAAGGGGGGCAATTGGAGCCTTCTGTCCATTCACAGTCTCTTTGAACTGTAAGTGCCTAGCTTGTGACATGCGAGAATCTACACCATTGAAACCAATTGCAGATCCACTTCTTTCAAGACTCTCTTTTGCCTATAAACATGGAATCCATGTAACCAGATTAAAGTAAGAGATGATACATGATTGTTTGAATGTGGTTAACAAAGGCTAAGGAGGGACAACTGAACAAGGATATTTAATAACTCAATCTGTGAATTAAAAGAATATTTAAAAATAAAAAACATCCCTCTGAATTAAGAGCAAGTGGTCATGGTTTAAGTTGTTATGCACAGAAAAAAGAAAACTGCTTAATATTTCTAAATCAAATTATACCTGACCAGCTTCAAAGGTCAATTGCAATAACTGACTTTGTAGGATCGCAACTTCTTCTTCCAGACTCTTCTTCTTACAAGCCTCATCCTCTAAGATCTTGTGAAGCCTTATAATCTCTGTATCTCCACCAGCCTAGTGCATGAAAAATAATCCCTTATGCATAAATAATGAATAACTTTATTCTTCTTCTTTTGGTCAGTTGGGGGTTGATGATGGAGGGTTTGGTAAAGGTTAAGAGAGGAAAGGCAATACAAAGCTTAATCCTTACCCCAGGCTGCATAAATTGTTCAAATTGACTCTTAAGTTTGTTGAGCTCATCTTCAGCTGCCTTTCTTAGCTGAATTTCATTTTGAAGTAACTTTCTGAGCTCGGAAACTTCCTCAGAAACAGAGCCCAGCTCCTGAGAAATAGAGTGGAAACAGAAGAAAAGGCTGGGGTAAAAATAAAATATTTGGCAAATCAATTGTTAGAAGGCAAGATGAAATGCATTGAAAAGGGTTAAAATATAACAGCAACACATTCATTGCATCACAGTGTCACAACTCCATTGGAGGGCCAAGAGATTCTGTGCTGTAATATAAATGCAGCATCATAATTATCAGGGACACGCCGGTCTGATGACCAAAAAATTACTTTATCAAAGGGCAAAATTTATACACCAGCTGGATGAAACGTAAAGTTTGAGAAGGGATTGAGTCCTAACTGGAATTCATAAATTTCAACATCAGACGTCAATAAGCATCCTATTGCTAAGCATCAAGGTCATAAGACTCCATTCTCAACAGCAACAAATGTCACAGAAAGAGTACCTCTCCATTGCAATTACCATTGATGAAGCCATCACAATCATGCCTTCGCTGATTTGCTACCAATTTTTCCTCTAGCTCCTTGACAGATTCCATGTATTCCATCTGACATTTTAGCCTCTCCTTCTATAAACAACAACAAGAAACATGAAGGAGTGGAAGGAAAAATATTATAGTACTTCAAGTAATAGGGCTCCAAGTTGATGCTAAGAAGTAAAAGGGAATTAAAGGAGCAAACTGCCAAGAAGAAATTCCTTGCTAAAGCATTTATAGTCCCTGAATTTTCATTTTTCTTGCTCTTTCCAAGTTCTAAACAAACACTAAACCCTGAATGAGAGTATGAGATAAATAGTATTGACAAAAAAGAAAAACAAGAGTGCCAACTATGATCATTGCAGCCTCAGCTCTTTCCACTTTTTGTACAAAAGAACAAGATCAAATGATTAAACACGGTGCTACTTTTTAAAAGTAATATGCAAAGCTCTTCTTCACAGGAAATAATCAATAGCTAAACTGACCTCTAACGCTTCTGCAAAGTTCCTTTCCACCTCAGCAATTCGATTTTGTGCTTCTTGATTTATTCTTTCAACTTCACTGTCAAAGGCTTTCTGCTGCCTTTCATTTTCTGCAATGAGCTTGTCCACTTGTATTTCAAGCTTTCTAGATAGACTTTTGTAATCAAACTCTTCCTTTATTTTCAACATGTTCTCCACCTTCATTGCCTAAAGACAGATGAAGTAACATTTGCAATCAGTTGGTTGTTTATGCTACATGCAATGTCTAACATACACTTCTACATAGTCATCATAAACACACCATGCATAGACTAAAATTCTCAATAACAGGGATGCCATGTAAAAGCAGAATGAAGTCATGCGGTAAAAAGGTTGGAAAACAAATCTCACAATAGCATTTGTACCTTGTACATTACAACAGAGAAAGAAAGAAAATAGTTTGATGGCAGGTACGGCAAAATTTAAAGACATAACACATGAATCAAAAGCGCTCACCCTTTGTCCAAACAATATAGTACTTGAAGTCTCCCCCCGATGGCGTGGTGATGGGCCAATGGTCACAATTAACGAAGTTCTTGCTGTGCCTGCAGTGGGATGACATGTGACCAAAATATGAATGGGTATTTTTTTGCAGAGAAATCTGGAGTAAGAAGCAAGTTTATTTATGAAATAAAAGTTTATTGAATAGTAAATCAGTAGATTACTTATTCCTCTCAAGGAAAAAAAAAAGAGAGAAGTTAATGGTTTAAATAATCCCTAATTTGGATCACCGGCAACATCTAATGAATTGATCCAGTCAGATAATATCGAAGCCTGAGAACAAATTGACTAACAGGCCACTCACCTCCAAATGAATCTTTAAGCAACCTAGTAAGTTTTGAATCACGAATCGGAACATGGGGACTATTCTCAGCCAGTGCATTTATGCACTTTCCTAATGCGCTGAGTGAGAGATTAATAGACTTGGCTTCCTCCAGCATATGTCCCTCACTTCCTGTCAAATGAGGAAAGAGCATATGTTAAGTGACTACTGACTCGTAAAACTGAGAAGCAGATTTAAGCAAGCCATTTAGTTCCACGTCATTTATCTCCACACTTAAAACATGATCGTCAGAAGCCACACTCAACCTCATTTATCTCCACACTCATGGTATATAGGATACAAAGAAAAGGTAACATCTTCTGATACACACCTGACTTGTGAACACGTTCTGAACCTGCCAGATCTACCAAAACCAGCTTGCTTTTCCGAACAATAAGTTTTGAAGGTTTGACCAAGTGAGGTGCATTGTCAATTTCACTTGAAAGAGCATCTTCTCGTCCAGCAAATGACCTCTTAACATGAACCTGCAGTAACAGATGCAAGAAGACATCAAACAGAAAACTAAAGAAAACCAGATCAAGAGCATAAAAAGTAAAGAACAATTATTCACCATCAGAATAGCATGACTACGAGAAGATTCAGTATTCAACTTTGTATTTGCAGCAATTCTATTAGCTTCCCCTAATCTTAGCAGCTCCACAATACTCTGTTGGTCCCTGATTTGTACAACAGTTGCCCCAGGTAGTGAAACATCACCAGTTTTTGGATCTTCCACAATGGAAATATTATCATTTGCTGGAACAAGAAGGTCTTGGACGGCCTCCATGTAAAGCTATATGTATTTGTAAAGAACAAGAATGTTAAGTAACATGCACGCACAAAATGTAACAGGACAAGAACAAATCGAGCATGATGAACTTTAGAAGTGGTTTTGTTCAATTTTTCACCAGCTAAATGTAGCAAAAACAAATAAAACGAGATCATACAGTGGTACAACCATCTTTCACATAACTTGAGCCTAACCTGCAAATATGACACTGAGACAGAATCAGTCTCTGGAGATATATCTGCTAAAACATCCTCCATTGCACGAACCATGATACCACGAGAAGCTGTGTCATCATCTCCCAGGTGTCCAAGAGTGAAAGTTTTCCCAGTACCAGTCTGACCATAAGCCATCACTGTCCCATTGTAACCATCTAGAACACTCTACCAAAAAAATACTCACATCAGTACAACATTTACATAAGACCCTACAAATCACATATGAACATCCCACGTGGCTTTATGACCCATAAAAAAAAAATGGAAGTTAGCAACAAGGTTCAAGGATGTTAGGATGTGCCTAGAATACAATGTTTAGAGACAATATGGCGGCAGCATTGCTGCTCAGTTTAGCAATGTATACAATAAATCAACCAAAAGTAACAAACCTCAACAACAGGCTTAGCAACGACTTCATAAACTCGCTTCTGCGACGCAAATTCAGTAAGCACATCATCGAACTCATACGTATCAGAGTCCCAATTGTTTTTCCGAAGCTTCAACCTCTTAAGCTGAAATAGAACAAAAGCCGCAAAATCCATTACTAACACCACAGTCAAGCTGAAAAATAGCATCCAAACTCAAATCAATACTCTAATAATGACACATTGAAACTACCTCTGGCTGCAACTCAACGCAATCAGCAAAATCCGCATCTGCTGCTAGCTCCTCGGCATTTCGTGGCCGCAGTCTCACTGCGACTCTAACTCTTCCCGGTACTGTCAAAACCATTTAAAATTTAAAATCCACAGGACAAACTGATACCCTTTCACAACTCAAACAGAGATCCATTGCCAGGAGAAGAAAAGAAGAGAAAAGAAAAAAAGCCTTTACCTAAAACCGCTCTAAATGCTTTCTACTAGTGATACTCTTTCACCGCTCAAGCCTCGATGTGAATCAAAATGTAGTAGTATAAAATAAAAATAAAATGTGAGGAAGGAACTGACCTCCGTCAGCGGCGGCGGAGAAGTTGGAAGGGTAGCTGCGGCGGAAAGGAGGAGGAGGAGCGTGGGAGGAATGGACTCTGGATTTGAACGAGGTAGATTTGAGATTTGAAGCAGTGAGAGGTTTAAGTGGCCTTTGAGCGCTGCTGCTGCCATTTCGAAAAGCACCATTACAGGATGATGCCATGATATTGTTGCTTATTCTTTATGAAATTACTTAGGTTGTTTTCCGTCAATCTGTTGGCGTTGTTGTTGATGTTGTTCTTCCGGGCTGGGCTGGGTGCAGTGGAGAGGAGTAACAGACAGGGAGGGGTTGGTGTCCGGTTGCGGAGGTGGGATTTCGGAGGTTCGGTGGATTCGAAGTTCAAACAAAAGAAATGACGGAGATGGGGTCCGCTTTTGTCTGAGCCTGGCAAAAGACAGAGATGGTCTTACCAGGTTCCGGGCCCCTGCACCCCTGACCCTTCGGTTTTTACGATTTTTGTTAGAACTTTAGATTATTATTTTTTTCTTCTTTTTTCACTTTTATTTGCAGTTTTAAATTTAATTTTTTCTTATATGTTTAAGTGGTGAGATATTAATTTCTAGTTTCCATCTTATTAAATCTTTTTGTTTACAGGTTTTGCGAAATTTAAATTTTTGGTCGCGGCGAACGAAAATGCTCTTAGGATTGTTCTTTTATTGAATCTCCCATTATTTGGAAAATACAAGTTCTAAAGGATGTTCTTGGCTCATTCCACAAATGAAAACACTGAAAATAGAAAATTCCCAGGGAAAATTCATTCGGTGTCTCGTCAACATCTAGTTGTAAAATTATTCTTATTATACGTATATTAAAGAAAACCGTTTTTCCTTTTGAAATGGCATAGACTGTAATTTTTCCTAATTTCTCTACTGTGGTGGCATAAACTGTATATTTAATTAAATGGATGCATAAATTTTTTAATTTACAATTAGTATTCATTTACAAAAAAACTTTTAAAAAAATTATATATTTTTTTGGCTAAAAAATTTATCTAATTTATGACAGAGCCATCTCAAGTATCAAGTAAAAACTAGAAATATATTTAGAATTATGGTGATAATTGTGATTCAAAATATATTTTTTTTAAATTGTATTAAGATAATATTTAAAAAATATATATATTTTAGTGATAATTGTGATTCAAAATATACTTTTTTAAAATTGTATTAAGATAATATTTTTAAAAAATATATATTTTTAATAGCAATACACCAAAACTATATGAAAACATAAAAAATAATTTGTTTCTATATTTTAATATTTTTTAAAATTATTTTTTACTTGAAAAAATATCAATTTATATTTTTTAGTAATTTAAATATATTGATATCAAATATATACACACGCATGTATGCACATTTTAATTAAAAATGCTCATTTTAATTAAAAAATGCATTTACACCAAATACGTTGAGGTTTTATGTAGCGAGGATTTAAGTTTTGAATCAAACTAGCATAAATCTATTATAAAATTCGTTGATTTAGATATAAAAGATGTCCTTTTGATATTTGAAAGGTAAATTTATCTTGTTGAGATGTACTTGACAAGAATATTCAAACATGAAATATTTTTAAATAAATCTCAGTTTCTAATTTACTAATTCAGTTTAAATTGCATATAAACTGTATGAAATTGAGACTTTGATGGTTAGGTCGGATTGATGTAAGTGATCATGTATGTTTTTTCGCTTGTATAATCCATCTCTTCTCTGAAAAATAAAAATAAAATGTTGAAATTTGTTTTATTCGATGAATTGAAATTATTCAAGCCGGAAGAGCATCGAAGAAAAAAAATTTGTAATCGCCATCTAATTGAAACAATAAATGGTCATAATGTGCACATCTTGTAATAATGCGTGAGAACGTGGAGTAGCATAAAGAGAAACCGTACATTAATTCATCTTGAAACTGGGTTCAGGTTTCTTGAAAATTCAAACTTTTTTTTATTGTTATGTTAAAAATAATTTAAAAAAATTAATTGATTTTTTTATTACGTTAAAGCTATTTTTAATTCAATTTAACTCTTTAATTTAAATTTTTTGCTTGGATTCTGATTATTTTTATTTTATTATCTTCATTCTTATTTTTTTATATCTTTTTGTGTTGCCGGGTTCTTTTCCTTTCATGTTTTATCTCTAAACATTTAATTTGTTAAGATTTAGCGTGATCTTATTGTTGTTATTTTGCATTAGTTTTTTAATAGTATTAGTTTTGTGATTTTTTTTAAATTTTTTATAAAGTTTTATCTTGGTTTTATAACTTAAATCGCGAGTTTTATATACCTTTTTAGAATATATGTTTTTATTTAAATTGTCTTATTTGTGTTTGATTTTTCAAGATATTATTTTAATTTATCTATATTATTGTTTTTTATTTTAAATAAGTGAACTTTATTTTTTAAAATAAAAATTATTATTATATTATTTTTTATTTTAAATAAGCGAAATTTATTTTTTAAAATAAAAATTATTATTATTTAAATAATATTTTTTATGTATTCGGCCTTGAGTAATTTTTTTAAAGTGTTGATTTATCTAATCAGTTATGTTCTTGTTTATCTTTTATGCCATTAACTTGTTACTGTGTTGATTTATTTTTTATTAATTTAAATAAATAAGTTCAATAAATATATTTAGATAAATATTTCATTTTATACACTAAAATATTTTGATTTCTATCCATTTTTTTATTTTTTTGAATATTATTAGTAATTTTAATTATTAATTTACATAAATAATTATTAATTTATTTGATTGGATACTTTTATAGACTTTTCTGTTTATATTTTAAATTTTTTTGTATAAAAAATATTAAAATTACCTGTATACTTTTTTTTTTTTGAAAAAAATTATAAACAGCAGATCACGTGGATATTATTGTGATAAATAATGAAAATCACATGATGCTAGTTGTCGCTGATTGACTTAGATTGTTTGTTGTCGACATGCTTGTCCCGTAAAGAAACTACGTACAATGAGAAATCCAGTGCAGACTCAAGATCTCGCTCGTGAGTTCACTTAATGCGCCGACTAACCAGTGGAGTACACCAGTGATGTGTCGCCTATGCGCGAGAGAGAGAGAGAGAGACCTGCTTGGCTCCATCCACGATTCAACATTGCCCGGAGTGTTTTCAATGAGGTGCAAACTTTATTTCTTAAAAATTAAAATTTTTTATTATTTTAATATATTAATTTTAAAAATAATTTTTTAAAAATAAAAAAATATTTTAATATCATTCTAAACAAAAAAAACACTTTAAATCTCCCATACACATGGTACTGAAGGAGGTTCATGTCATTTTTGCGTTTAAAGATAGGAAGGATAGCATGTCTTCTTGAATTAGAAACCAGAATCCGTGGTACCGGAACTGAAACTAGAGTTGCTGTGCTAAGAAGAACTTGAAGGGGATAGGTAAAACACCATGGAACACAACACCAAACATTGATTGAAAAGTGTAAAGATGTTTTTGCTCTTCCCAGCAACAAAAACAAGAGGTTTTATTATTAAGGGTAATACAATCTTGTTACATGATCCACCATTTATTATTGATTGAGATGAATTGTTTTTTTTTAATATGCAAAAATTACCTGGATATTGTTTATTTACACAGCTGAATCATGCTTTTTTAAAAAATATTTTTATATATTTCTTTGATGGTTTTAATAAGTTAACATAAAAAAACTTTAAAAACAATCTATTATAATGTCAAACATTACCTTAATCATCATTACTAGAAAGAAAATGGTATTAAAAGGTTTTTTAGTCTTTTTAATTTTTCAAGTATAGTGAAATAACTCCCTTAAAATAAAAAAACGTCTAAGTTGGCATCTAGGATTTTTTTATATATTTTTTATTTTTTTTGTTATAATTAAATTGATATATAAACAATTTAATATTTTAATGGATATAAAATATTATTTAAAAAATAAAAATTATACGTTCCGATAACTTAGAGGTGCTTCGATGGCTGAAAGGTGGTTTTCAAAGCAATATTTGAGTCATCATAAAGGCTCTTTTATCTCTTCATACAATGTATGGTCAGTGAATCTTTTATGTAATGTTGATAATTTTTTTATTATTGTTTTTTTCTCTCTTTTCCTTTATTTCATACATAACTCTCTAGTTTTTTTTAAACCAAACCTTTAATATATGTTTTTTCTTTGTAATAAGTGGTTTTTTTTTGCTATTATTTGTTTTATTTAAAATAATTTATAAAATTGAATTTTATTTTAATGTCATGTTCTTTTAGTTTTTTTATCTATTATATTTGATCAATGTTCTTTTGTTTTTTTTTTTAATTTTCATTGGTTGATATTTTATTCCATTTTAATTGCCATGTTTTTATAAAAAAGAATTTGATGATTGAGAATTTTATTTTTTTTGGGTTTGTGTTTTATAAGAGTAACTCGATCTTATGATCTGGATCACATATTTTGAAGATTAACCTATTTTGATTTGTTTTTTTTTATATTTTTTTATTTTTATCATCTAATATTAGATTACCAGACCTTTAACTTCACATTTTTGACCTTTTTTCTTTACACGGGGTTATCTTGAATTGCAGGTTAATTGCGTTAATTTGAGTTATTTTTTAAAATGAATTTTTAATAAATGAATTTTTAAGCTCTGTCTTTCATCACTTAGTTTTTTTAGAGAGTTGATCTCCATTGCTTTATTTATTTTTCTATGAGTTTAGCCTCGTAATCAAACCATAGACTTGATATGTTGATCAAATTAAAATTCTTTTTATATATTTTTCTATTAAATTAATTTTATTTACAATTTATTACTCAATGTTTGATTTGTTGGTAATTGAACTTCAAATTTTTTTATAAATGTTTTTAATATTATTATTTTTTTATAATCAATTAAGATTATTGAAATATTTTAAAATTATTCATAATATATCTTTTTATATTATTGATAAATGGATATTTTTTTATTAACCATTGTCTTGTTTTCTGTTATTAGTTTTTTTATAGATATATTATTAAATTAACCAAGTTTATTTAATCCATTCAATCAATAATATGTGTATCCTATATTTTTCTTACTCATTTAAAAATACTATCATTTTTTAAACATTAATACTGTGTTAGCCCGTGATTTATTTATAATGGATTAATAATAACTTTTTTTATAAATACAAAGAGTATAAAATGTTAAATCTAGACGCTATTGGGTCTGACTGTATAAAAACACCTAATTCTTATTGACCAGATTTAAATGATATTAAATTTAGCTGTAAATTAGACCTAACAATAATAAATTTGATAACAAAACTAGATCTAATAGTTTTTTAAAGCAATTCAAATTTAACTTTCAAGTTAAACACAACAATAACTTATTAGAGCAGCTCCAATGGACGAGCCATATGAAAAGCTAAAAGTGTTTTGCCATTTATTTCTTTCCTGTTCATGTTGCAACGGGTAAGCTAAACAAATAGCCATTTTGGCTATTTGTTTTGTTTACAGCCAGTTCTTCTCTGAGTTATTTTTTAAAATGAATTTTTAAGCTTTGTCTTTCATCACTTAGTTTTTAGAGAGTTGATCTCCGTTGTTTTATTTATTTTTCTATGAGGTTAGCCTCATAATCAAACCACAGACTTGATATGTTGATCAAATTAAAGTTTTTTTTTATATTTTTCTATTAAATTAATTTTATTTACAATTTATTACTCAATGTTTGATTTGTTGGTAATTGAACTTCAAATTTTTTTATAAATGTTTTTAATATTATTATTTTTTTATAATCAATTAAGATTATTGAAATATTTTAAAATTATTCATAATATATCTTTTTATATTATTGATAAATGGATATTTTTTTATTAACCATTGTTTACTATTTAAAAAGCTATTTTTTTTTTATTTGGCTCTTCAATATAATTTTTTTATTAGAGATG